AATTTAGAGACATAGGTCTAATGATTTTTCTCCTACAACATAAAGTAGCATTGGTACAGATAAAGGGAAAGTGTGTGCTGGATTCATCCAAGGCTGAGTTTTTGTCAGAAGAGAACAACAGAGAGAAAAAAAGGCAAGGGAGTCGATGTTTGTATGGGAGTGATTTTATTAATGAAATAGAGAAATTAAGCTAGATAATGAGAGAACAAATGATAGAAGATAATTGATAATAAAACCTGAAGGGATCAAGTCGATTCAGGAACTGGCAATATTGGTATACTCTAGAGCTGGTTAGAAATAAAATCACATCTTCCTCATGGATCTACTAAATCAGAATTTGTACTTTAACAAGATCTTCAAGTGACTTGTATGTACATTAAAAACTGAGAAGTAGATTAGAGGATTTGATGAAAGTTAAGAATTTTTACTCTGAAAATATAATTCTGGGTGAATTATCCAGCACAGTGGTTACTTTTTTTTTTTCTTCCTGTAAAGGGTCAAGAAATAAATAATTTGGGCTTGGGTGCGGTGGCGCATGCTTGTAATCCCAGCGGCCCGGGAGGTTTAGGCAGGAGGATCATGAGTTCAAAGCCAGCCTCAGCAACAGTGAGACGCTAAGTAACTCAGTGAGACGCTGTCTCTAAATAAAATACAAAATAGGCTTGGGGATGTGGCTCAGTGGTTGAGTACCCAAGTTCAATCCCTGGTACCAAAAAAAAAAAAAAAAAAAGATAGTCAATGGTTTGACTTATCCCAGGGCCATAGTTTGTTTGACCTCTGTTTCCATATAGCATTTACCATAGAATTTCTGGTTTCTTTCTTATTTATTTATTTATTTATTTATTTTTATGTGGTGCTGAGGATCGAACTCAGTGCCTCACATGTGCTGGGCAAGTGTGCTACCACTGAGTCACAATCCTAGCCCCTTTTTTCTTTGGTACTGGGGAATGAACCCAAAGGTACTTTACCATTAAGCTACATCCTCAGTCCTTTTTATTTTATTTTGAGATAGGGTCTTGTTAAGTTGCTTAGGGCCCTATTAAGTATGGAGGCTGGCCATGAACTTGTAATCCTCCCTCTGCGGTTCCATAGAAAAAAGATCATACAAGTGAGCACAACTGTGCAAGCAAATTCTGTTTTCTGACCACTCACTGTCTCTTGGGAGTAAGTACTCTTCTGAACACAAACTTACCTTTGTAATGAATTAGCCAGTTGATGTTCTGTGAGATTCTAGGACAGGATTTGAGTTAGGGCCAAACTGAAGTATTAAAAAGCAGACTCTCCTTAACATCATTTTTTTCTCCCTGGAAGACCTAGAGATGTAATATGGGGCAGGATTTGCATTTACTGGTTCTCTGGGGTTGTTTTCCTTGGGCCTCCAGGAAATTCATTTTGGAGTTTCTTAGCTAGCCAAAGGAAATCAAGGTATTCCTTGGACATCAAAGAATCAATTGCTTAAATTGAGTTGAACAATATTCCCTTGAAGGAAGTGGCAGTAATAATCAGTCAGGGTTTCCAAGGTAACAGAGTGCAGGTAGGTGGGGGAGGGAAATAAAATCTGTTGAGCATCTTCTCTCTAGCATCCTAAATAAATCATTTGAGTCCTTACAGTAAGTTTAGTATTATGATCCCCAAGGTATAGAGAAATATTCTTTTAAGCAATGTAGCACCTTATTCTGGTATCCTCTGTTTTACAAATATAAATTCATTTAATCTTCAACATCCCTATGCAATGGGAACTATTACAGCCTCTATTTTATAGTTGGGAAAGCTGTGCCATGAAGAGAGGTTAAATAACTTATTGGAGAACATTTGCTAATATATATGGGACCGAATTTTTAGTCCTAGAACACTGGCTTCATTTTTCATTTTACGTCTTGGTTTAAACTCACTCATTTGATACTTGTTGAACAAATACTCTGCCAGAAAATGTACCAGGCCTAAAGTTAGGTAACTAACTCAAGACCAGGAATATGTGATAGCTATAGAATCAGTGTTGAGGTCCAATTCTGACTCTTAAACCTGTGTTCTTTTCCTTGTACTATACAGTGAGTATGTTTTTCAGTCGTTTCCAACAGGAGATTCTCCATTGGTGCTAAACCTTCAAGTTTTGGGTTTTACTAATTAAGTAATGTGACATTTCTTTTTAAGTTCTTCAGGATGTTTGAGGTATTCCTATCAACATTCATAGTTTTCTTTATCACAGAACAATCTTTACTGGTATAAGAACGGTTGTTCTCTGCTTTATATGCACATGGCATTCTGAAATATTTTCCTACATTTTGTTGTTTAATTATTGTATGCCCTTTTTTCCTTGTCTTTTCTTTTTCGTTAACCTCAGGACATTTCTGAGAATAATGCCCTTGTCTCAGTCACCAAGCTTGTGTTCATTATCCATTTCATTATATTATTAGATTAATCTAATCTTCCAATTTTCTAGGTTTTATTCATCTTCATTAGGTTACTGAGTAATCCAGATACATTATTACCAGGTCTTTTAAGGTCTACTCTTAAAGGGTCTATTCCAAATTTTAATGCCTGAGTCAGGCACTTTGTGTCTGTCCCTGTACTTAGATAATAAGTAATAAAAATGTGCTGTCAATATGTTTATTTTCAACAGTGTTGGGATGTTATCATCTCCTAATCTGACACTAGCAATGATTACTAATGATAAATAACCAATATGCTGATATTTCCCATATTTTTCAAGCTTAAATTTAGTGCTCCTACATCAGGACCTCCTGAATATTCTTTCTTTCTCAAGTGCTTTTATTCTTTAATCTATTCATTGAAGTAGAATATAACTAATTTTCCTTATATTTGCTTCTGCTGTTAACCCTTCAGTGGAAGCAGAGCCACAGAATTCTTGGACTTTCATCATAAGGTAGAAAAAAGGTTGAGGTCTTGCTTTTAAAAAATGGACAAGTGTCTTGTTCTCCTGAACCTCAAGAAGAAGCTTAACTTTGAGGTACTAAGTATGTGGATGAGAGACATTTGAAAGTCATGGAATCCAGAGACCTGAGGTATATTCTTAGGTTAGCCAGTAACTTGAGAATGGCTAACATTTATTGAACACTTACACTGTGTGCCAGTCACTTTTCTATTCATTTGCTGTGCTGTAAGTGGGAGGGCACTATTATTATCACCATTTTATTGACAAAGAAATGGAAGCACAGAGCATTTAAATAATTTACCCCATGATTATACAAACTAGTATGTGAATTTGTCATGCTTTCCTGCTGTTTTATGACACTGATATCTCAGCTTTAACTAACTTTACATATATAATACAGCTAGGTAATATGAAATAATCTTCTTTGAAAACTAAAAATGTATTTTTTTGTGCCAGTTAAGCAAGATTTTTTAAGACAATTTTTGAAAGTTGAACAAGGAAAAGGTAACTATATTTGTTACACTGGAAATAGAAATCTTCAATTTTACCTACATTTTAATTCACATTTCTTTAATTAAATAAATACATAATCTCTGAAAAAAAATTTACCCCAACTCACTGCTATTAGGGGCAAAGTTTTGCAACAAAGACAGTCTGGTCCCATGGTGATACATCTAGCCACTTGCTTATATTTCATCTTGATAACAGAAACTTCCACTACAGTTGGCCTTCCTTTGTATCTGTGGTTCCACATTTATGGATTAAAAACCAACTGAAGAGGAAAAATATTAGGGAAAAATACTACAACTGAACGCAGACAGACATTTTTCTTGCTATTATTCCCTAAACAATACAGTATAACAATAATTTACATAGCATTTATATCATATTAGGTATTAGAAGTAATTTAGAAACGATTTAAATTTTGTGGGAGGAAGTACATAGGTTATATTGCAAATTTTACATCATTTTAGATAAAGGTTTGGGTATTTGTGCATTTTGGTATGGAAGTGGGTACTAGAACAAATCCCTTGTAGATCCGGAGCCACAACTGTACCGATATACTATGCAACAGGTTCTTTGTTTTTGTTATTACCTAATCACCAACATCCTAAGGTAGATGTAATACCATTTTTTTTTTTTCAGGTGTAAAGAATGGAGGCTTAGAAGGGTCCTACCAATTGGCAAACTCAAGCTTCAAAAGCAGCTAGGTGGCTCCAAAAGTTTCTCTAACTCTCCAGTCACATACTTTTTTTTTTTTTTTTTTTTGGTACTGATGATTGAACCCATCCAAGGGATGCTCAATCACTGAGCCACATCCCCAGCCCCTTTTTTATATTTTATTGAGACTGGGTCTTGCTGAGTTGCTAAGTGCCTCGCTAAATTGCTGGGGCTGGCTTTGAACTCAAATCTTCCTGCCTCAGCCTCCCAAACCACTGGGATTGCAGGCGTTCGCCACAGCGCCCGGCTCACACACATTTTTGATACTCAGTTTAAAATAAGACATTTAAAATAAGAGATTTGGAGATGCCTTGGTTCTACGGTGGAGGATGTAGAGAAAGGCATGTCTACAGATGGATGTGCGAGAAGGTGGGGCAAATGCAGTCAGGCCACAGTGACCCAGGGATCAGCAGAACGAGAGTGGGGCGCGGTTACAAATTTGAGGAGGGTTTTTGCTAAAAGGAGGTTCGGGAACCCCCACCTCCCCAACGCGAGGCCTGTGGCTGAGAAAGGGCTTGACAGTATGGGCGACCAGTATGGGTGCTGAGGGGCAGACCAGTGGTCAAGAAGGAGGCTATCCCTAGGGCTGTGTTGGATTTCTCGGACAGGACACCCGCCCAAGTCCTGCTCCACAGGCTTCTCCAAGAAAGCTGGGAAGGAAGAGGCGCGGCCTCCCTGCCCAGCGAAGCAAAGCGCCACGTCCCTCTTGGCTCAGCCTACCTCAGGCTCCTTTGCTACGCGCTCCACACCTCCCGCCTCCGGCCTCGCTGGCTTGGCCTGGATCCAATCCCAGCCAATCGGCGCCCTCCGCGATCCCGAGCCGGACCAATCAGCGGCGGTGGGGGCGGGAGCTGTCGCCATGGCAGTGAGGAGGCGGGCGCGCGCGGTTGGTGGAGGGACCCAGCAAAGCAGTGGGCTAGGGGCTGGAGCGAGTCTGTTCCAACCCATTCAGCAAGCGGAGCCTTCCTCGCCTGCAACCCGCAAGGTAAGGCCGGTGGCTGGAGGTGGATGCGGATTAGTAAGTCGGGAGGCTGGGGCGAGTCCTGAGATAAGACTCTGGTTTTTTGCCCTGCCAAAGCAGTGAGCATGGCGGGGCCCGCACATTGGGCGGGCACAGGTGGGGAGGGAGCCCCCAACTTGAGCTTGAGACTCGGGGTCCCCTCCTCCGCTTCACTCGCTGCAGAGCACCCGAGCTTTCTCTGGGGTAGATGTGGGAGGCAGACTCTCCGCGAGAGCCAGAGAGGGTAGATGCAGGACCGAGACTCGGGCGGGGTCCGGCGCAGTCTTGGCGCTTCAGTGGGCGAGGGAGATGCCCATCGGTGAGGAAGGGTATATCTACCAATTCCAGGCTGATGCTCACCACACGATTCGCCGTGGAGAAAAGGTAGGCCTGTGAACCCCGTTTTTCTGCCGGTTCTGTTAAGCTCTTACACTCAGGAGAAAGTTCCTGCCAGTCGTACTATCGTTTTTGTTTTTCCTTTTAAGAGACAACTTAGGTTCGAGGTGATCCCTTTCAGTTTTAGGGGATGAGAAGGATGGTACTTCCTTGTTGCACCTGCTAAATATTAACTCAGTGAGCAAATGTGGTTATTGTGGTTGGTGCTGGCAGCGGTCTTGGCAATTATTTTACAGTGTCAGAAGAGGTGGAGGGGGAGAAAATGAGAACGAACATGGATCTTTAGTGTGATTTTTGGGAGACAACCTCTTTAGATTCTGTGTTCACTAAACTACTACACTGGGTAATGTACCTTTTGACAATAGAATTAGTGCTACCATCTAAAGCCTTTTATTAAGGTTCTGTTAAATCCATGGATGAATATGGACACTAAACCAAATTTTACCTGGCTTAAAAAAAAGACAGGGGTCAGGGGTCGGTTAAATGCACATATTTCTTTTTCTTTTCATCTTCTTTTTTAATGCTGTCTTTTTATTTTATTTTTTAAAGTTTTTTAGTTATAGTTGGACACAATATCTTTATTTTGTTTATTTATTTTTATGTGGAGCTGAGGATCGAACCCAGGGCCTCACACGTGAGAGGCAAGCGCTCTACCACTGAGCTACAACCCCAGCCCTAAATGCACATATTTCTAATAGTTTTGTTTGAAGGAAACTCTTGGTTTTCCCTATAGGAAAGTAAAAAAAAAAAAAAAAAAAAAAAAAAGACAGTTGCTTGAAAGGATTGGCTAAAAGCTGTATGAGACTAGTGGTATTTTGTTCCAATAACCTATCTTTTACTACCTATTTAAATTATTTGTTTCTTAAGGTATTCCCTGGTGGATTCCATTAAATAATTGGACTCTGGTAATATCCAAATTCCTGCATTTTTTGTCTGTCATAGAAATTGCATCAGGATTCATCCTGATTTAAGCCAAGTGTGAGTTCTTGTTTTATAAAATTTGAACAAGTTTAACAAACATTAGACAAATAAATGTTTCAACAGATGCTCCTTAGTTAATAGGGTAAAAAATTAAATCATTTAGAAAATAGAAGTAAAACCTCAAGTAATATTATTCTTTTTATTATGGTGAACATGGAAACTTCTTTTTCTCATCTTGATCTTTAAATTCTCTCCAATCTGGTTCACATTCCTAATGTGAATAATTCTGTCTCCTTGTGGTTACTCGTGCTGTTCTTCTGCTATCCTGATTTTACCCATCTTCTAAGGGTGTGTTTATCTTTCTCTGCTTTCCCAAGATACTAATTATTTATATGACACATTTTACACATTTTCTCAGCATGCCTTTTGTCAGTTGTTTTTTGCTCAGTAAATACCATTTGAAATGAAATCACAATTAAGGGGGCTGGGTTGTGGCTCAGTGGTAGAGTGCTCGCCTAGCATTCACAAGGCACTGGGTTTAATCCTCAGCACCACATAAATGTAAAATAAAGATATTGTGTCCACCTAAAGCTAAAAAATAAATATTTTAAAAAAGAAGAAATCATAATTAAGGCAATTAGGGTAATTTGCAAAATACTAGCTTTTAATTATGGGCATTAATATAGGGTATCAGCAACATGAGCAATTCAGTTATCTTTTTGTTTTAGTATATGAAGTATATCTCTGTAGATATACTAAATTAATTTTATATAATTTAAAATAATATATATTAAATACATATTAAACTGTGTTCCAATTTCTAAGGATCCTTTTGATGGCTGGGGTGTATAAAACACCCTTTTGAGTAGGTGGCTGGAAGAATCAAGTGTAAGATTTTGGAATGTATTGAAAATAATCTTTAAAGTGGATAATTTTTTAAGTATTGTTAATAAATAAGTTGACCATATTTGGCATAATAGACAAATAACTTTTTCAATATAATTTACAGTTTAGAAAAAGAAAAATTTGTTTTTTTATGTTTAATATGTGAAATCAGTTTATAGACTTTAAAAAACAGGCTCCAAATAAGTTAAAATAACTTACTCAAGAAAAATTATCAATCACTTTGATAATTTTCAATCTAAAAGTTATTGAAATCTACAATATGGTGAAAAGTCTACTTAATTAGAATTTCTTGGCCAGATTCCAGTCCTTGTTCTGCTAGATTATCTTAGGCAAGTCAGTTAACTTCTTTGTGCTTATATAACCTTTTCTAAAGGTGGAAAGTGAACTGGATTACCTCTGAAAACATTTCTGGACTCAGAATTCTCTTATTCTAAAATTTGCAAACAACTTAATGGAAATTGAGATAGCACTTCCATGCCTTCATTTTTTGGCAGAGTCTTTTGACATTGTATTTTAGTTATCTGAAGTACAGTATATGTAAATGTTGAGGACATTGTAATTAAAAAAATTAAGTGATTTATTAAGTGTTTATTAAGTGATACTGATATCAACAGTATATATTAATAAACTTATTTCTAAGAATACTGTAAACCATTGCTAAGATTGGAAAAAAAAAGGAGATATATGATAGTTTCCTTGATTGATGTCCTTTTAACAGATACGGACATCAGAAACACTAAGATCTATACTGATGTCTTGATCAAGGAAGGGGCTGAAGTCTAGCTCAGCTGGTCATATACCTGATATTTTATTTCGAATCACACTTTCTATCTGACTCTCATTTTCAAAGTGGGAAATGGAGGTGAGCAACAGGTTATATTGTCACTGCTGGCATGGAGAAACTCAGACACCATTTAGTTTTCCTCACTCCACCCCTTTTTACTGTCAGAATTGACACATTAAAAAGCAGCAACCCTGGTTTCCTGGCTCAGGGCAGTGCCTTTGGGGGAAAAACAAAAAAACAAACCTAGGCCTTTCATTCCAGCTTGATTTTAATGGCTTGGAGGAAGAGACTGTTCCATTCTTGTTGGATGTGTTCCTTCTATTGGCTTTGTAGCTGCATTGGAGCTTTGGTTATAGCAATGCTCAGAGAAAAGCTCTAATGAGGCATTTCAAAAATGTTTTGTGATTGTCAAACTGATATTGCCTTTTAAATTCTATAATTTGGGTATTTATAGAACAGATTTTCATATATATGTATATTTCATTTTCAAGACAATAAGGGCATTAATATTTATTGAGTATATACTATTGTCATATACTATACTGGTTATTTTATGTTCTTTCTTATTTCCACCTCATCAATAAACCTGTAAAGAAGTATCAGTTCAGTTTCATAGATAGGAATATCAAGACTCAGAAGACCAAAAGAGGGTTGGAGATGTAGCTCAGTAGTAGAGCTCACGTGTAAGGCCTAGGGCTCAATCCCTAGCACTTAAAACAAGTATCTCACAAATAAATGGGAGAGGTTAGGATTCAATCTGTTTTTTTTTTTTTTTTAATTTTTTTTATCATGCTGTATTAGAAAAGGCCATATACCTTTACAAAATACATTATGCATATTATCATAGATGGTTTCATATTAAATTGCCATGTAAAAAAGGAATATATATGTTGTTCAAATTTGAAACTATTGTTATTTGCTTGTTTTCTTTACAGACCACTTGGAAATAATTGATCGTGTTCACCAATGAGTTTGCACACAAGCTGTCTTGTATTATGTAGTAGGGTTTCAAAAAAGAGTTAGAATTTTATTGTCTCATTACTGTGGTAGACTGGGATCAAGGTTAACTATTTTAAAGTATTGTAAAAGTAAAGGAAGATTCCAGTTAAGTATTTAACAGAAGTTACCTTATATCTTAAAATGTAATTGCTGAGAAAATTAAAAGCTTAATCTGAATTCTGCTTAGTTATTTAAAAGAGGAGCAATAGATTAATTCTAGATAGGGAAGAGGGGTGGGAGGGAAAGAGAGGGGGCAGGGGATTAGCAAGGGTGGTGGAATGTGATGGTCATCATTATACAAAGTACATGTATGAAGACTTGAATTGGGTGTCAACATACCTTATAATATACAAACAGATATGAAAAATTGGGGTACATATGTGTATTAAGAATTGTAATTTTAAAAAACCCAAAGTACATGTATAATGTCATAAATTGGCACAAACATACTTTATATACAGAGATAAGAAAAATTGTGCTCTATATGTGTAATAAGAATTGTAATGCATTCCACTGTTGTCGTGTATTTAAAAATATAATAAAATCAATAAAAAAGAGGAGCAATATAGTAAAATATGGGCACAGCAAATCAATTGGTCTTTGATTCTGTTTATTTTAATGTATCTCCCTTCCCTATTGGAATATGATATAATTTAGTCTCCTTCATATCATGAAAATTTGGTACGTTTTCTTTTCATGCTGTGACAAATTTATATGCTGTCATTTGCCTTTACCACCACTATAATATGGTTAAATTTATGATTATATTTAATTTGTCTTTTTTTTTTTTTCATTTAGAACCTAAGAGTCAGTTTTTAATGAAAAAAATTTGGGTCAGGAGCCAAGATCCACCTCTTCACTAACTTGATATTAAACATCTTACCTTTCTGGATCTCAGTTGCCTCATCTGTAAAAAGGACATAAAAATTGTTTAGCTGTATGAAGGTAAGTGCTCAGTTAAGACTTGCCTTTGTTGGCAAACAAAAACTACCACCACTACCAACAATAATAAAACACAGATAGGACAAAACCCAATATAGGCTTCCTGGTAGTTTAAACCCACAATGTTTTTTTTTTTTTTCTCATTTGAAATAATTCTTGAAGTAGACAGTCTAGGACAGGCATAATGATTTTATTAAGTCATAAGAGACCTAATCTCCTCCAATTCTTTGATCTGCTTTCCCTAAGTTGTGACTCTGTTTTTCACAGTCTAAGATAGCTACCAGCCTCTGACCATCACAGCCAAGATACAGGCAGCAAGGCAAAGGTAATGAAGGATATCTCTTCTCTCTTTCAGGAGACTTCCTGAACAAAAGCTCAGGCTGCAAGAAAGATGAGGAAGGGAGAAAAATATACATGAGGGAGGAACAGAGATTTTACAAGGAAAGAGATTAGTTCCAGCTTTTCTATTTTTTTGTTTGTTTTTTGTGTTGCCAGGGATTGAACCCAGGGCTCTGTCCATGCTAAGCAAGTGCCCTACCATTAAGCTACATCCTCAACTCTTTTGTTTTCTTTTCACTTACTTACCTATGACCATTCTTTTTAACCCCTTCCAGGATATCTTGCCCCACAATTAAAACAGGGATCTCCCACCCCTCCCTCTCAAATAAACTTAATCTGGTTAACTACTGGAGTGAATCTATAGCTAAGAAATCTGCCTCTGTTTATGAATGAGAGTTTTGATTTATCCTTTTAGGACCTGGATAGGTAGGGAAATTGTTTTGTATCTATTGGATACTAGGAGAAGATTAAGAACTCATAATTACTTTGTAATTATGCCTGAGGCTCTGATGCCTTTGGGATAATTGATTCCATGCTATCTTGAAATATTTAAAAAATTTTTAAATATACTTACTTATTTTTTTTGTCCTACTTGGTTGTACATGACAGCAGAATGCATTTCAATTCATCATACACAAATGGAGCATAACATTTCAATTCTCTAGTTGTACACCTTGTAAAGATGCACCATTAATGCAATCATACATGTATCTAGGGTAATGATGTCCATCTCATTCTACCATCTTTTCTACCCTCCTAATCCCACCCCATCCTCCCCTTTGCCCAATCCAAAGATCCTCCATTCTTCCCATGCTCACCCCCCACCCCCTCATCATAGATCAGCATCTACTAATCAGAGAAAACATTTGGTACAATATCTTTATTTTATATTTATGTAGTGCTGAGGATCGAACGCAGTGCCTTGTGCATGCTAGGCGAGCACTCTACCACTGAGCCACAAACCCAGCCCCAGGCCTTTAGTTTTTTTGAGGTTGACTTACTTTGCTTAGCATAATTTCTTCAGCTCCATCCATTTACCTGCAAATACCACAATTTTATTCTCTTTTAAGGCTGAGTAATATTCCATTGTGCATATATACCACAGTTTCTTTATCCATTCATCTATTGATGAGCATCTAGGTTGGTTCCACAGTTTAGCTCCTATGAATTCAGCTTCTATAAACACTGATGTGACTATGTTACTTTAGTATGCTGATTTTAAGTCCTTTGAGTATAAACCGAGGAGTAGGATAGCTGGGTCAAATGGTGGTTTCATTCAAAGTTTTCTGAGGAATCTCCACACTGCTTTCAAAAGTGGTTGCACCAATTTGCAGTCTCATCAGCAATGTATGAGTGTACCTTTTTCCCTACATCCTCTCCAACACCTATTATTGCTTGTATTCTTGATAAATGCCATTCTGACTGGGGTAAGATGAATCTTAGAGTAGTGTTAATTTGCATTTCTCTAATTACTAAAGATGTTGAACACTTTTTCATGTATTTGTTGATTACATGTATATCTTCTTCTGAGAAGTGTCTGTTCCTTAGCCCATTTATTGATTGGATTATTATTATTATTTTTTTGGTATTAAGTTTTTTTGAGTTCTTTATATATCCTAGAGATTAGTGCTCTATCTGATGTGTGTGTGGTAAAAATTTGCTCCCATACTGTAGGCTCTCTCTTTACTTCAATGATTGTGTCTGTTGCTGAGAAGAAGCTTTTTGTTTAAATATATGTCTTTATTTTGCTTTAAGTGGTGCTGAGGATCGAACCCAGTGCCTCACACATGCCACACGAGCATTCTACTTTTGAGCCACAACTTCAGCCCAAGAAGAAGCTTTTTAATTTGAATCCATCCCATTTATTGATTCTTGATTTTATTCCTTGTGCTTTAGGAGTCTTGTTAAGGAAGTCGGGGCCCAATGAAGATTTGGGTCTACTTTTTACTTCTATTAGGTGCAGGGTCTCTGGTCTAATTCCTAGGTCCTTGATCCACTTTGAGTTGAGTTTTGTGCATGGTGAGAGATAGAGGTTTAATTTCATATTGCTACATATGGATTTCCAGTTTTCCCAGCATCATTGTTGAAGAGGCTATCCTTTCTCCAATATATGTTTTTGGCACCTTTGTCTAGTATGAGAAAACTGTGTTTATGTTGGTTGGTCTCTGTGTCTTCTCTTCTGTGCCATTCATTGGTCTACATATCTATTTTGGTGCCAATACCATGCTGTTTTTGTTACTATTGCTCTGTAGTATAGTGGAAGGTCTGGAATTGTGATGCCTCCTGCTTTACTTTTCTTGCTAAAAATTGCTTTGGCTATTCTGGTCTCTTATTTTTCCAAATAAATTTCATGATTGCTTTTTCTAGTTCTATGAAGAATATCATTGGGATTTTAATAGGAATTGCATTAAATCTGTATAACAGTTTTGGTAGTATGGCCATTTTGACAATATTAACTCTGCCTATCCAAGAGCATGGGGGATCTTTCCATCTTCTAAGATGTTCTTCAATGAATTGATCTCTTGATTTAGAATCTCACATCATCCTACTTTAGAGAGGAAATAATCAGCCTATCCATATTTGGATTAGTCAGTCTACTGTTTCAGCCTAGTTTAGCTCAGTGTCTCCTCTTGAAGTCTGAGTCTTATGGAAACACAGGGTGATAAAAGATAGGAGAAGAAGGCCAGTCTTAATGACTGGAAAATGGAAGAAAAGTAGGTTAGTCCCCACTTCTTCCCATTGTTTCTCTTTATCACTCATTTCTCCTTTTTTTGTATGGATTTTTTTGTCTTTTCCAGTTCATAAAAACATGTAACCCTATTTCTGACACCTTTGGCATTATGTTTGTATTTAAAGAGATTTTTTAAAATACATTTTTAGTTGTTGACAGACCTTTATTTTGTCTATTTATTTATATGTGGTGCTGAGAATTGAACCCAGTGCTTCACACATGCTAGGCAAGCACTCTACCACTGAGCCATACCCCCAACCCCTAAAGAGATTTTTGTCATTACTTTTCTACCTAATGTACTCAACACTTTCTGTTTCTTTTGTTATGACAGCAGGTGACATTTGAAGAGACTTTATTAAGAAATAGAGTAAAGGTTTAAGTTAATTATCCTTATTATGTCTAGAATAAACACTGAAAGATTAAAACTAGTAGAGGGAAAAAATATATTTAAAACATTCTCCATTAATCAAAAAAAAAAAAAAAAAAAAAAAAAAAGAAAAGATAAGACGATAAAAAATAAATATTAAAGAGACAGGATAAATAGAAAGCCCTAAAGAAGATGGTAGATTTTGAATTTAAGATAGAATACCTGTATTTCATTGATTCTAAAACCTCATTGATATTAAGATATACCATCATATGCTATAGAAAAAATCCTGCCAAACTATGACATTGTGCTTTATTACTTACAATATGCTTACTGAAAAAATTTTATTTTACTTTTTTTTTTAATCCCTAGGGATTGAACCCTGGGATGCTTTATCATTAAACTACATTCCCAGAGTTTTGTTTTATTTTATTTTGAGACAGAGTCTTGCTAAGTTATTGAGGCTGGTCTTGAGCTTGAGATCTTCCTGCCTCAGCCTCCCAAGTACCTGGTATTACAGGTGTGTGCCACCATACCTGTTTTTTTTTTTTTTTAAATGTATATAATAACATTGTTGGGAAATTATTTTGTAGTTTAAAATTTAACATAGCAGCGACTTTTGGCCATAGGTATTTATGATGCATTACAGTAATAGCTGTTTTATAACCCATTCTCTTATATCAATCTCTTTTGTAGCTTTAGCATTAGTGTATTATTTTGAAGTATTCTAAAATAGCATCAGAATTTTGTCGACATTTCCTATTGACTCAACTCAGCTTTCTCCCCACTTAAATTACATGTTGTTGGAAGTTCTGCAGCTTTTGCTTAGTACTATTAGGAAGTTTTTGACAAATTGACATTTGCCTTAATGTTTTATAAATTGGTCAAATAAAGTTCATGTTCCTTGAAATTTTTTTGGAGGCATTGTCAGTTTCTGTTGGCTGCCTTTGCATTGTTTGGCTGCTAATAGGTAATTCTGTTGCTCTAACAAAATGTAACATGGCATCATCTACTTTGCGTATCTTTGTGTGTGTGTGTGTGTGTGTGTGTGTGTTGTGCTAGGGACTGAACCCAGGGTCTTGTGTATGTGAGGCAAGCATTCTACCACCTGAGCTATATCCCCAGTCCTACTTTGGGTATCTTTCTGTCTAGAGTTTAGTAAAGCACTTACTTCTTCCTTTATGAGAAAAAATAAAATTATTATTCTAACATCAAACATTTGCTTCACCAATTTGAGTGCTTCATTTCTGAACTTACAAAATAACTTTTCATTTTAATATCAAATTATAGTTTAATCTTCTTGGGAAGATATTTAAAATGATAATAAGGAACTACTGATAATGCAGAAATTCTGAAGTTAGGACAGTAAGAATAAATTTGATAAAAAATTTATGCATATGTAATGCATATTGTTGTTGGTACTTGACCAAATACAATTTTATTTGTTGTTGTTGTTTGAAGTATTGGGGATGGTACCCAGGGCTTAGTGTGTACAAGGGAAGCCTCAACAACTGAGCTAAATCCCCACATCTTTTTAAATTTTATTTTGAGACAGGTCTTACTAAT